GCTGGCCGCGCTCCTCTCGCGCGGCCGCACCACCTGCGGCGCCCGCGCCGCCGCGGCAGGGGCGGCGCCGGGCGGCCGCGTGCCGAGCCCGTCGCCGGGCGGCCGCGTCCTCCGGGCGGCGCAACGCTCGCCGCCGTCGGCGTCGCAGCGCTCAGGGCCCCCGCGGTGCGAGGAGGCGACGGCGCGCCGCGTTTGCGTGTGCTCCGTGTTTGCTCGGTCCACTCCCGTGCCGTCTCCCTAAGAAAAGCTGCGCGTAGCCCGCCTAGCTTTAGCGGTAGAGGTTCGCTCTCGCCCCGCAGACCAACAAAAAGTTTGCTCGGTCCAGGGCGGCACCTCGCCAGTCGGCCGCCAATCCTCCAGGCTACCGCCTGCGAAACCGCACCTCGTGCCGCGTCGAGTTTTTGCCCGTCGCGTGGAGAGGCCCGGGATGGGGTGGCGGGCGGAACCATCGGCTACACGCAAGAGTGACCCTGGGTAAGAGTGACCTTTGGTGAGCGGTTTTTCGGGGGCCGCGGGGGGACCAAACCTGGACGCGCAAGCCGCTGCTCCTGCTTCGTTTTCGGCCGCCTGGGGACCCATGTGTGCCCGCACCGAAAAGGTCACTCTGGCGAAAGGTCACTCCTGCGTCTATGGGGGGCCACATGCGAAAACTACCCCATACCCCCCCACGATTTCTGAGGGGGAGGGTGGGGTTCACCTCACTCGGGAGCTCCCGAACGAAGTGAACCCCACCCTCGCCGTCAGACATCGTGGGGGGTAGGGGTAGGGTTTGCATGTGGCCCCCGAGTCTAGTCGAGCCAGGAGAACGGCCTCTGCACCCCGGGCCCCCGCTTCCCCCACCCCCCCATTCGCGGGAAGCCGCCCCATTGCCTCCCGATCCCAGGGCCCCGTCAGACCAGCGGGCGGGCGCGGCCCCACCCCCCCCGCACGGCCCGAACAGCCTCCCCCTCTCCTCCTCCTCCTCCTTTTCCTCCTCCTCCTCCTCCTCCTCCTCCTCCTCCGCCTCCTCCTCCTCCTCCTCCTCCTCGTCCTCGTCCTCGTCCTCGTCCTCCTCCTCCTCCTCCTCCTCCTCTCTCTCTCTCTCTCTCTCTCTCTCTCTCTCTCGGCGGCTATAATAAGCCCTACTTGCAACACAACTACTTGCTATACAGCGACTGTTTGCTACACAGCGACCTCGCTCACTCCCTACTTGCTACACAGCCCTGCGTGCCCTTGCAACCTCCGCCTCGGACGCCTGGCGTCGGTCCGGGGCGTGGTCAAGAGCTCCCGCCCATGCCCCTTCCCATCGTGCCGGCTGCCCTCCGGTCACTCTCGTGGCCGTCCGGCCTCCCCAGAATCCTTCTCCCCGGTGTGCTCGCTGGTGATACTGCGCGCGGCGCTGTTGCAACCAGTCTCTGTCCTGACACCGCAGAAGTAGCGAAGCTGGATAATCAGGGTGACGGCGAAGGTGTCGTAGCAAATTCATGGCCCGACTGATGGCGATATCGCCCCACCGTCTGCCGATGCGAGGTCGAGCTGCTCGGGCCCGCCGGGCTCGTCTTGCTGATCGCGGCGACGTGTCGGAGCTGAACCGTATCCAAGGCGTTCACCATCTGTCTCCCAAGGACCCACGTCCCGGCGTAGAAATTGAAGATGCTCCTGGACGGGGGGGGCCGCGGGTAGTTAGAGCGTCCAAGATGGCCCAAGACGGCTCCAAGAGCGCCTCAGAGAACCCAAGATGAGCTCCAAGATGGCTCAAGATAGCGCAAGATCGCTCACGATGGCTCCTAAGATGGTTCCAAGAAGCCCAAAGACGGCCCCAAGATAACTCCAAGTGGCCAAACAGCTCCCCAAGGAGGCCCCGAAGAGGCCAAAATCGTCCCAAAACCTAAGGAAAATCAATGATTTTTGCTTTCTCGCCTTTTCGCTTCCGATGGCCATCCGAGGCCTGGAGATGGCTCCAAGATGGCCCAAGAGGGCCCCAAGAGAGCCCCAAAAGAGCCCCAAGACGGCCCCAAGAGCGCCCAAGAGCACTCCAAGAGCGTTCCAAGAGGGGTCCAAGAGGCGATTTTAGGGGCTTCCGAGGGGGGGCGCTAATTAAACCCCCCCTCTTGTTTGATCGACTCCCTCCAAGATGGCCCCAAAAGCGCCCCGAAGGCTCCCCAGAGCGCCTCAAGAGGGTCCCAAGAGGCGCCCAAGATGCCCCCAAGGCGCCCAAAAAGCCCTCCAAGAGGCCCTCAAAAGACCCCCAAGAAGCTCCTTTCCCTCCTCCTCCTCCTCCTCCGATTCTTCCTCCTTCTCCGTCCTCCTCCTCCTCCTCCTCCTCTTCCTCTTCCCCCTCCTCCTCCTCCTCCTCCTCCGACGACGACGACGACGACGACGACTCCTCTTCCA